TGCCCATATATGGTTAAGCTGCTTCCCAGCTCCCCTTACAACCATTAACAGCCACCCCCCCTCCTTATTTTTAAGTGGGAGAAAAAAATCAATACAAATCCCAACGAATGCAATACAATGGAAAACAACAACAGTTGGGTGATGCAGGTTCTGACAATCTACTTGGTTCCCATGTTGGGTATTCTAAATGTTCCAATATGATGTGAAATTAAGCTAAGTTCATTCTGGTGTTCAATATCAAGTAATTTAGTCAGAATAATTTGAAAGGCTTGTTTGTATTCTAAAGGACAATATCTGGTCAAGAAGGGGGCCAAGACAGGCAAGTTTTCAAAGTGCTAGTAGATGCCAGAAGCACTGAAGTTGAACGTCAACACTTGAGGAATCACTCCTGCTGGGGAAAAAATGGCATTTGAGCCAATAATTAAATATGAGTAGTGATCCCTTTGCCTCTACTTTCAGTCATCCTAAATCCAGACTTTGTGAGGCATTTGGTACACATTTAGGTGCCTGGAACATTGATCATAGGATCCCATTTTGGACTGTTTCTAGAGGTTTATAATTGGGGAATGGGCCTAACTGGGCCCCATAACACCCTATGGAAAGTCCACAAGCTTTGCCTCAAATGGCTTCAGTGCTGCAGGAATCTGTTCCTTGCCTTGGGCATGAAAGAAATTGCTGACCTTGTTGGTGCTAACTGAGCTTTCCAAGAGCCAGTAACGTGTAGAACCACCCCCAAGTATTTAGGTACAAGCACAAATTAGCCAGGCACAAATTATGATATTTTGGACACATGAACAATTCTCTTGAGAAGTCCATAATGTTGAGAAAGGTGAAAGGAAGGAGAAAAAGACAGTGATGAGCAGTGAGGCCAATGCACTCAATTAAAGTGGGATGGGTACACCACTGGAAGATCTGAAGGACCAGGCTGGGGATAATATATCTCTGGGGTTGCTAAGAGTTGACATCAACCTGATGGCACATAATCAGGCCATCAAAAATATGATCCAACAGAAGAGGGACATGTTCCAGTCAGGAACTGAGAAGCCCTCAGCAGCAGTATCGAGATGGACTCTGTGGCAGGCATGCCATCACCCTCCCTGGTTTGTTCTAGGCTGTGACTCAATCAGAGGCTTTCCAACTGCTAGATTTATCCTTCCATCTTATCAAATATTCCTTGCCCCCAGGAAACATCTTATTTACACCTTATTTCCCCATGACACTGACCTCATCTCATCCCCTGCCCACAAGTGAGAGAGCTTTAAGCCACCTTGGAAGGAAGTCCGATGACCAGTTGTGACTAAGAAGAGAGGCAAGAATGGCTGGATAAGAATTGGTGGAATTGTTCTTTTCAGGAAACAGTCCAGACCAGAGACGAGGGAGGTTTTCTCTTCTTTTGTTCCAGGAAAGGATTTATTTGACAATAAATACAATTTTCTCTCCAGTAGACACCCAAGGCAACATCTGCTACTGACACCCCCATGCAAAGCTCTGGGGGCTTCCCTTTTTCTGACTGGAGCAGCTAATTTGGCTGCTTCCAAGTCCTGCAGGGGAAGAAAAGAGAAAGGGACAGGAGGGCACATGCCAGCTGCTCCAAGACTCTCCGTCCCCAATGGACAGCTTTCTTCCCACCAAAGGACAGCTCAGCCTTCCATTCAGCCTTGGGCCAAACCCTCTCTAGCCTATCAGGATGCTTCCTGCCACTCCCAATGTATCTTTGCCATTTCTTTCCAGGCAGGAAGGAACTTTCCTGCACAAAAGATTGAATTGCAGTCAGGCTCTCTGGGGTGGAAAAAGGAAGTAAACCATGAAATCAACAGGAGTTTTATAACTGCCCAAGGCTATCCCTCAATTCCTTGGAAGAAAAATAAGGTCTGCTAGGGGGACTACATAGGCCCATGCTTCATGTCATGCACAGGAAGCCACAGGTTTCTTCCGCACTCCTGGGTTTGTGTGCAAAATTGCACATTGATACATCTACTGGCCCTACAAACTGAGCATTAGGCCAACTTTCCTGGGTATGAGTCTTTTCACAGAGGACAAAATTTTGTTTGCTTCCTTTGTGGAACTTGTGAAATTTCAGAAAATCTGAAGAAGTCTCTTCACTTCTTTGGCCTCACTGAGTATCATCAAATAGGATTGAAAAATTATTTTTGCCTACCCTGTGCATGGATAGTGTGCATAGGTAGGATCTTAAGAAGTGATTGTGGAGAAAAAATACTTCCCAAATCCAAATGCAAAGGATTTACTGTATTGGGTCTCTCTTCAGAGTGAATCTTCCGGAGTTCTAAACAAGACAAGTGGTAAGCAAATATTTTCTCCCCTTGGACACCCCCATGTAGAATGGACAGCAAAATATTCCCTACATTCCAAACGTCGACACTTCTTCTTCTCTTCTGTGTAAATACTCTGATTACCCACAACCTGGGTCTGTTCACCAACACATTTCCCACACTCATAACATTTGTGTGATCCCTCTCCAGTTGGATTTTCTTTTAAACTTCTCAAGGGCTCTGAACACCCCGATAGAGTCCCTGCTGATTCTGAAGGTGAATCTCTTGAGAAAAATATTTTCCCCACTACAAATCTTATCCAGGTTTCTCTTGTGATTTTCACATAGGCAGCACCAAGGAGAGTCTTTGCCACTTTCTTGTCAGACATGCCATTTTTGCTCATGTGGATTCTCATATAGTTCACCCAAGGAGATTGAAGTGACTTCCCATATTCAAATGTTTGTAATTAATTTACTTAGATTTCAATTTGAGACATATGTGTTTGGGAATAAAACATTTAAATTAAAAGAAACTCATGCCATAATAAATTGACTAGACTTTTAGCTGGCCAAATATTCTTTATTGCTAAAAGAATATATCATCAATTCCCTCTGAAAATCAGCTGTTCCTCTTTCTTTCCCACAGAAAAAGCAATTCTTCCAAATCTCCTGATTCAAAAAACATATGGTAGGAGTAGTAGCATATTACTGGCATTTTTTTAAAAAATTAACAATTGGAATTGTATGCATGATGTGTTAGGAAAAAAAGGGGGAAAAGAAATAAATGTAAGAGGAAATAACTAAGGTAAGGAATACAATCATCCAGGGAGAGAAATGAAAGTTCAACCCACAAATACAGGAAACAAACATAAGTGAAACCAAATCAAACCTATCCTCCTCATCATTAGCAACAGATTTTCTTCTCGTCTAAAAATGAAATCAAGCAAAGCTGCTCTATAATATTTTTTCTAAATTGATTTCTTAAAATGTATTAATGTCAGTAATCATTTATGGTTCTAACTGAAGAGACTGTGATAAAATAACATGAGGATTAAAAAGAAACTGACGGGCTCTTGCTACATAAGTTTCATTTATCAGTCACAATAGAAATCTCACATGAGAGAAATAAGGAGTTCTTACAACACATAAAATGGGCTTTCTTTCCAAGCTATGTTACATCACCAGTAAGTGGTAGTAAAAATAATCACAAAATCAGGAGCCCTCCTTGTTTTTGATCATTAAATGCCCCTTGGTGTTCATGTCAGGTCTCAGGATAATGATGTAACATTTGGGTATAAAGATACAGCCCAGTAAGCCCAGGCTGGAGGCCAGGATGGAGAAGATCTGCACAGCCA